AGTATTACGCTGGGCCTTAGCATCACAATCTTATAATTTTACGATACAGCATAAAAAAAGAAGAGACAACTTAAATGTAGATTGCTTAAGTAGAAACTTTGTACATACCAGTTAAATAGAACAGTTATCATTTCTTTTAAATTGTCTTGTCATTTGTTTATATATATTGTATTTTTCTTTCTTTTTAAATTCATACTATATAGTTAATTGTTAGCTTGTGGTGTTGCGCGGCCCCAACCTGCACGCAACAATAGTAGTGACTGCTATGAACTGGAAAGTACACAAACTCTTAAGAAGAGTTTAACTCCCTTTTTATTCCACTTTAGAAGTTACAGATGCATGCACTTGATGCTCACAAACTACGCCGACCCGGCGGTAAAATAAAAATAAGAAAGTACAACTAAAAATGAATAATAACAGGTAACTACCTACGAGGCTCTCTAAACGTAACTAACCTAATCGCGTTCTAAGATACAGCTGAGATTTCAGCAAACTTTCTGAATAAAAAGTTGAAAGATTCAACTATCTGCCGAAGCAAGCACACAGGCCGAAAGGCACGGTTCTTAAATTTCTACCTAGCAACCTTCACCCTTGTGAATCAAGAAAGTACACCTACAAACTCGTTTCCCTTCTATTTAACTCAAAATTACTTCCGCTGAAAATCTGAATACTTTGCGTGTTCTACTAAAATTTACATACTCTGGCATTGGCAATTTCAGGGGAAAGTAAAGGCTTGACAGGAAAGATAGCTTAAAATAAATGTTAGTTAAAATAAATATAAACCCTACAAGCTTTATTCAAAAAAAAAATTGTTTTGGTATTCCATATATTTTAGAAGTTACTGTTCGTTATATGTATTTCTTTCTATGGCCTGGTCATGAGTGTAGAACATTTGCAACAGTGTTGTTTAAAATTAACTTGTAAAATGTTGAACAATCTATATTGAAAATAGAAACTGAACTTAAAAAGATTTTTGTTTTTCCTGTGTCCAGAGAAAGCAAAATCTGGAGGCAAAAGGTGTTTGTTTGTAGCGAACTCCTGATTATTTTGTTTTATCCTGTAAGAATTGAAAAAGAAATAGACTTTGGTTTCCCCTGTGCTAAAGGAAAGCAAAATCTGGAGGCGGAAGGAGTCAGTCTATAAAGAATTCGGGATGGCAGCGACGTTACAGAGTAATGTGCATGCGCAAGTATAACCGATGTGGTTAGGATGCCTGTCGGAGGGAGAGTTGAGAAGCTCCGCCAGCGAGCGAAGGTGTGAAGACTTTTTATTCATCCAGTGAATGACGAGTGCTATCTTGTTTAACGTCTCTGATCATGTCATCAGCTCGGATATCTATTCAGTTTTTCTAAATGCATTAATTGAATATTGTATGTGTGGCTTCATGAGCTGTGAATAAAGAAATTGATGCATCACCAGTGCTTCCTTACTGGTGGGACATTTACGACATCACAGCCTATTTGCACTTGCTGATGCAAGCTCACCTCATATGTAAATTGTATATTTTAATTTCCCTTTTTACATTTCTACCTTTTCTTTTACTTTGTTGCTCATTTTTTATCAAGGATGTATTTTATAGGAAATTATATATTCTATGTGGCATGTATTGTTTAATTTTTATGTACACTGGTGTGCAAAAATTAAGGACGAAGTCGAAAAATTAGCATATCTGCTGAACGAAGAGGCAGAGCGGACAGAAAGACCAATCAGGAGATTAAGTAAGGTGATGTACGGTAGCACATGCGCAGATATGCAGGTAGACGTAATGGGGGAGTGTCTGAGTAGTATAAAGCATATTGTCGGTATAAGATCAGTATTTCTGGCAAAGAGATTGCACGCCGTATAGCAGTTAAAATCAGACCGAGTTGCTGCCTCAGCGAGAAATGGTGAATAATCAATCTGTTAGACGACATCTGGATGCTTTTACCCGAGGTCGAATCATTGGGAAGTTGGAGGAAGGCCGCAGTGTGACAAGTGTGGCTGCAGAGTTCGGAATTGCTCACAGCATCATTTCACGACTTTGGAGACAATTTCAAACTACAGGAACAGCTATCCAGGGGTTTAGTAGTGGTCGTCCACGAGGAACCACACCCGCAGATGACCGGTATATTGCCTTACAGGCCAGAAGAAACAGGCGGCAGACAGCGGGAGAAATCGCTAGACACACGACACAGGCGACTGGACGATTGATATCGCGTTTTACCGTGGCCAGAAGACTGCACGGTGGTGGTCTGTTTGCACGGCGCCCTGTACGGTGTGTACCTCTAATGCCTGCCCATAGGAGAAGGCGTTCTCTGTGGTGCCGGGAACACTGGAATTGGAGAGACAATGAATGGGGACGAGTACTCTTTACAGATGAGAGCAGAATCAGTCTGAGTAGCGATTCTCATCGCATACTCATCTGGAGAGAGCGGGGAAGCCGCAATCATCCCTCAAACATCATTGAAAGGGACAGGTATGGAGGTGGCGGTGTTCTTGTTTGGGGAGGCATCATGCTTGGTAGTCGTACAGACTTTCACATCTTCGAGGCAGGTTCAGTCAACGGGACCCATTACTGTAACGAGATTCTTCTTCCATATGTGCGTCTTTTTAGAGGCGCTATGGGTCCGCAGTTCCTTTTCATGGATGACAATGCACCATGTCATCGCACAGTAGCTGCCGAACAGCTCTTAGAGAGTGAGGATATTGAACGTATGGATTTGCCGGCACGATCTCCGGATCTCAATCCCATTGAGCATGTATGGGATTTTCTAGGCAGACGCTTGGCAGCTCATACCTTACCACCAGTAACGATTCTGGAGCTTCAATTGGCGCTGCAAGACGAATGGGCAGCAATGCCTCAACAACTCATTGACACCCTCATTCTCAGCATGGGCAGACGCTGTGAAACCTGCCTAGCAGTCAGGGGAGGTCATATCCCCTATTAAAGACCGGATGTTTCTTGCTGGACACCCATCACAGGGATGTTCTGGCCTTCAGTCGCATTGCGCTCCATGCTACTTTTTCAATAAAGCTTCTTTTTATCCCTCTGATTTCTCTTTTAGTAAGTGTTGCTTACATTACTCATGTCCTTACGTATTGGTGATCTTACGGTATTAAATGTGTTGATTGGGAAAGCTTTTGTACAAAGTTATAGTGAAAAAACCGTCTCGTCTTTAATTTTTGCACACCAGTGTATAGTTTTTATATTTAGGGCAATATGTATTAGTTTTTCTTAGCATTAGTGTAACTAATTATTTGAAATCTCTAAGTAGTCAAGACAAATGCTAACTTAGGTGGGAGGATATTAAAAACTATTATACTTTCTCCATACTCTTTGTAAACTATTTTAAAACACAAGTTTTGTATCTTGTATTTAGCAACATTAGAGCTTTGTAGTTGATTTAAAAAGCAGATGAGTAGTTCTTACTGAGATTAATAATTTGAGTTAATAACTGGAGAAATTTTTAAATACACCACTAATGGTCATGAATGTTTGAGATTAGGTATTTAAGAAAATAACTCAGTTTTAAAAAAAAAGTCTGTTATTACCTGAAATGTATGTAGTCTTATGAATAAAGTATCCATGTTCATATTTTATTCACATACAATTTTGAGGACATATTTTCAACCTACTGTTTTTGAAAGTATTAAAAGAGCCAAATTCGTCATCAATCGTGTTTCCCAATCTAGAAATTAAACCTTCAGATTTAAGATCCACATCAGAAGAGTGGAAATAATTTCTTCTAATCCCTATGCTTTGCAGGCATTTTTCTCGAAAATCAGGATTCCCAAAATGTAAACAATTCTCAACAAATGCATCTCAATACTGTCTCATAGTAAATCTCAAGATTTCTACTATAGAATTCTCGAGTACAATTCTGCAAAGCACTTGAATCATTTTTTAAAACTAGTCAAAAAAGGAACTAGTTTGACACTCTAGTTTGAATAAAACTCTGTTGACTTTCTCTCTACAAGCTATCAGCAAACATTGTTTTTAAAAACTAATCCAAAAAAGGAACTAGTTTGGCACAGATTTTGAATAAAATTCTATTGATTTTTAAAGCGATCAGACACAAGTTCCTATTCTTCCAGAGAAAAAAAAATTGGAAAGGGAGCTAATGCATTTCACAAAATGTTTTTATCCCGAAGAAGATGGACCTCTGTCAGTCTTGAGTCTGATTGCCTTGAAACTGACAGTTTTATTCAACATCTTTGCTAAACTATGTTTTTATTTTATTTTATTTTCACCTCATTTTTTAAGTTTCATTGCCGTGCTTCTCTTTCAATTTATCTGAGAAGCTCTTTTTATGTGAACAAGCCATTCACAAGCATGAAGAACCTATACTTAACTAGCTGTCACTTGTATAATTTCTGCCAGAACTGCTAAGAAAAGTCAAAATCCTGTTTCTTAGTAATTCTATCACAAAGCATTGTTCCAGCAAATACCAGTGCACTAATAAGCTTCAACACACTATTCATATTTATACTAATGGCCTAAGTAATTCAGTAACTTCCCATGACTTCCAAGATTATCATGTTACACATTGGCATCGGGTAGTTTTAATGGAACTATTCCTCATCATTCTAAACTTTATATCTTATTAATAATATCATTTGTATGGATATTGTACATTGCATGAATAATTAGCCGGACAACTGCACAAAACAGATGTGATTTTAGTCAATTACAAACACAAATTACTATTTTCAAGTTTTGTCTAACCATCAAAATTCGGATCTACGTATCATCAGATAATTAAACATAACATAAATTTTAACCACTTTTGAATGCGCAATTTTAGCCGTTCATTTCTTTTTTTAAGGAGGGATTACATATGTATTTTTGACAACAGTTGTATTTTAAAACATACCTAAAATTCATTAATTCTATGAAAGAAAAATATGAATAAAATGGAATCTACATCTTTTTCTGCACATTTTTTAAAACATTCATGTAGCCTACCATGTAAATTCATTAGTTTTAGTACATGATAAATTTCAAAACAACAATTACTCACCAATTACAGGATTCAGTTTACTGCTCAATAACCAAGCTTTTTCATAGTTTTTAACAGCATCTTTATAGTTCCCCTCTTTTTCAGCAATGTAACCATATAAATCATATGCTTTAGTACATGACTGAAAGAAAAGTAAAGAAAGCATTCAAAATGTACATTCTAATTTTAAAATATAAAAAGAGGGATAAAATTCCTGAGACTAACCTTATTATACATTAAAACTTTATCAAGCATTTCTGATGCTGATGGAAATTTTCCAGCCTAAAAAGGTATTAAAAGAGTATCAATACAACAAAATCTTAATTAAAGGAATGAGCATTAATATTTCCTAAGGCATTATTCCAATACATTATTTATTTTCTAGATTAAAAAATTCTAGAAATTCAGTTCCTACAAAGAAGCATCAATAAATCTAATTTAATATATCATTATATGAGATTAATATACACCATTTCATACATAAAATTCCTAGAACATATGATTCCTACAATTGTAAGAAATTAAAATTCACTTGTTTGATCAAATTCCCTTTAATAGTTTAAATTTTCTTATTCACAGTCACAATGTGAATTTTCATCTCCAAAATACAATCCAGGGTGGATTTGAGACACTGAAAGAAGCAGTTCAGTGCTCACTGCCAAAGATTCTTCCATCTCCGAGAGCAATCAGCAAGTAGCAGCAGTTGATTAGGTACTGAGACTCATTTCCATCTTCACATCAATGGTAACTTAAGTAACTGACTCTTAGGTGGTGTGGATACATACATAATCACTTTTACTTATTCCTTCATACTTACAATAACTGGCAGTCATGTCTATCCTATCTTACCACAATTACTGCATTCTCAAGGCTCAAGTATGATCTGAATAAATACAGTAAGAGTGGCAAACACTTTACTACTGAAACTCTTCAATGATAGTCACTACACCCAATGTGTAAGAACAAGAGATACTTCCAGTATCACATCAGGTAAAACCAAAAATTTCCACACAAAGCAGGCATTACAGTTCAAGTGGCTAAGATAGCTGAAGACTGACAGTTCATCCCCCACTTGATTCTCGGTGAACAATTGCTCAGAATTTTTGTACCTTTCTCCCAGTGTCAGACAGTATGATGAATTTCTATACAATCCAGATGAAAAAAACCTGTCCAGGAATTTTATTCATATTGCCAGATTATTGTCTTTCATCAAGAAATAGCTCAAGTCAGACACCAAGCAGAAGTTTATTGTTCTAATGGCATAAGATGATTTATGGTAACCCTCTACCTTGCTTTTGATTGGCTAAGTTAGCTGTAATGAGCAGTATTTTGCTTGTGGCATAAAATGTAAATAATTAGTTTGGAATTAATTCACAATAATTATAATTGTTACAATAATTATAAAAATTATTATTATGAATGTTACAATAATTATAAATGTCATAAATGTTTACTTAACATATTATGGTATTTTGGCAACAGTAGATGAGTTTTTGACTACTGAGTTGGTGAATGAAAATTAATTTGGTGTTGGTACGGTAATCTTTTTACTTTTTTGTAGTTCAGTCAAACATCCTTGGAATAGTAAAATTTTGTCTGCATCTTATAATGTTGTATTAACTGAGGATTTATAACTGGTGTACTTATGTATGGTGAGAGAGCTTTCGACTTGTTTATTTAATATGACTATGGAAAACGTAACAGAAGCAACTACGTTAATAGATGCCGAAGCAAATAAAGTAAGCATTAAAATTCCACCAGTATGGCAGTAAAAACCCGACATTTGGTTTTTCCAAGTGGAAGCCAATTTCAAATAAATAATATCAGGTCTAGGTCACCAAATATAAGTACATCTGTTATGAATCTTCTGTTGATACAACATAATAATTGGCCATGATGGCCGACTACCGATTCTCTGACGAATTTAACTGATAACTTTATTGGAGATGGGCTCATACAGAAAAGCATAGAACCTGCTTTAGCAAATGCTTTGGAAGTACAAGTAAAGATGGAACAAACTGATATCTGTGATAAAAATTTAACACCAATAATACACACAGTTACAAATGACAACTTAGTTACAAATGAAATTCTACAAAAGAACTTAACACCTATTTCAGATAATGCTTTAAGAAATATTTTCGAAGTACATGTGGTACTGGAACAAAGTGTAACCTAGGGTGAAAATTCTGAACAACTGATGTATGCGGTTGCTAATAATTCCCTAAATGAAAAAGAATCTTTACAAAATCTAAAACTTACTCCAGAGTGTATTTCAACTGATTCCTTTCAAACACACATAAAGTTGAGGCCAATGGATGGACACTATTCCGCTCAAAAACATCTCGGCAGAAACTTCAGCAAAAACTTTCTATAGCAATTGAATAGCAGGATCTGGAATATCTTTGCATTTAACAATTGATCGAAGAACTCAATTTTCATCTGAAATATTTCAAATCCTGTCAAGAACCTGCGGCATTAAGCTTTCACACACTACAGCCTATCACTTGCAGTGCAATGGCAAGGTAGAATGCTCCACAGATCAATAAAGGCTGCTGTAAAAGCCCATAATAATAAAATTTGGAGTGAAACATTATCAACAGTTCATTACACCTACGAACGGCAGTCCAAAATGATACTAACTATACTATAGCGTAAATGGTATATGAAGAAAATATTAAACTTCCTGGAGAATTTTTTCAAAAGAAAATAATCATACACCACCTGAAGCTTTTATATATAAATTACAAAAGCATATGGAATTAATTCGGCTAAAGGAAATACAACAGAAAAGTATCCCTAAATTATTTGTACATAGAGATTTAGAGTCACCTTCTCATGATTTTCTTCGCATTGAGTTCGGAAGCAACCGGAACCCCATATGAAAGTCTGTATTTAGTTATCAATCATTCACCAAAATATTTTACTCTCAGGATAAAGAATAAAGAAGTAAATGTATTGATAGACACATTGAAGTCAGCATATATTCTACCACAACAAATCCCTGAACAAGAGAACCTACGATTCCAAATTGTGTAACCAATGCGCCTACGCAGATTGAAATTCAAAACAAAATAACTGTGGCTCAACCTAAAATCAAATCAGCTTTAAGACAATCCAAAACTGGTAGAACTCTTTAAGACACCATTGCGATTTAAAAAAGGATATTTTATTTATACATTAATTCTATTATTATTTTGATGATAAGCACCATTACTTCTCCCAATCTTTCTAACGTAACGTTCGTAACTGGAAGGGGAATGAATGTAACTAATAAAATGTAAATAATTAGCTTGAAAGTAACTCACAAATATTTTAGTAATTATAAATGTTTACTTTGCCTATTATTGTATTATTGTTTTTGGCAACGAATTTTACCTTTGTAAAATAACAGAAGATGAGTTTTTGACCACTGAGTTGGTGAATAAAAATTATATTTGGTATTGCTATGGTAATCTTTTTTTTTTTTTTTTTTTTTTTTTAAGTTCATTCAACATCTTGGAATAGTAAAATTTTGTCTCCATCTTATTACATTGTATCAACTGAGGATTCATAATAGGTGTACTTATAATATTGATTCTCAGAGCAAAAACGTTTATATTGGAGTCTATCTTTCGAAGTGACTCTGGGATTCTATGATTCAATTCACAAAAAACGTCCCTGTTACATCTTGTGTCCTAAAGTCTAATAAGCTTTCTATATTTATTACTGCAGACATAATTCACGTTATATGCAGACCAAAAAAATCTCATCATGGTATGAATTCATGTATAAGGAAAAATCAGAAAGACAATAAATCTCAGTTGAAATTCTTATTCAAATGTGGTGATGTTCTGGTTTTTGGCTACTCATGTTACTTTAAATTGTGGCAACATTCATTAATGCTAAATATAGATAACCAAACTCAAACATACTTGATATTTTGTAATAATATCAACTGAATGCAACTGAAAGATGATACATTTATTATTAAATGCAAATTGACACTTTCTGAAATAATATTATGTTTGACTTGAAATTAAAATAATATTAAAAAATTCCTCATTTATTTTGGGCTTTTACTTAAATATACATTTAACTACCAATTAATCATAGTAAACACTGGGGATGAGGTGCAGGGCCAGGTGAAAATCATTGTAGAGACATTACATTATTTTTAAAGCAGGAGTGATGAAAAATGAGCAATGCCCTCGCCGGGAATCGAACCATGGACCTCTGGAATACGTGCCCAGTGTGCTAACCTACGAAAGCATGCTAAGAAGGTGGGAGAAATACTTCATATACTCCCCCTTTTAAAGGGTGAGCGGGGTTTTTAGGGGACTCAATCGCCAAATCCTGGGTATGGAGAATCACCATCCATCACCCTTTTAGTATGGGTGCCACTGTAGAGACATTAGGTTATTTTTAAAGCAGGAGTGATGAAAAATGAGCAACACCCTCACCAGGAATCAAACCACGGACCACTCGAATATGCACCCAGCGTGCTAACCATTACACTACGAAGGCATGCCAAGAAGGCGGGAGAAATACCTCATATCATAATCAAAATCATGATCTGACAGCAATTAAAATTTATAAGAATAACCCATAATTAATAAAAACACTATTATCAATTTGCCTGAATTTTTAATTAATTTAGTTCAGAAAATAATTTCATTTGATTAAGCAAATTATAAGCAAATTAAATCAGCATTCAAAAAGAAAAAATAATGTTTATACTACTTTTGTATTTCAATAACAATCAACGGGAAACAGAAGACAGTTGCACACTTAATTTATTTTTTGCAATTCAGCAACTTAATTTTAACAAAAGTTTTAACAAATATTTATAATATTCCAGACTGTATGCAGTTAAACTGCATACCATTCTGGATACAAAGAATTCTTCAGTACAGTGACACCATCTGCTATCATTGCTGTGATTCTTCACATTCCTTCTCCTTTTCGTACTTTTTTGCAGAAATTTTGCTTTATTTCTGATGGTTTGTGATTACCATTTTTCTGCAAAAAACATACTTTAGCTTTCCCCCCTTTTTTTTTCCAGACAAGGACTAGTAAATCCACAACCTAGTTAATCTGTACCTGATAAATCGGGTTGACTGAATATAGAGCCTTACAAAGAATAAATACAAAAATACAGAGCAGAATTACATAATTATGGCAAACAACATGGGAGCTTGCCTTTAAGAAGGCTAAATATTCCCCTCCCACATATATAAACTTACAAACATACAATAGAAACTATCGTTAGGATATTTGAATATGGCAAAGCAGATGAGGGCTATTTGTCTAGAGCAGATTCCTTTCTGGAGGATTCTTCCAAAAAGCTAACTAATATTCACATTACACTTGGGAAAAACCAACAATGAAACCAGCCCATTCACCTAGGACTAAACTCAGGTTGAACTACCAGTAATAAATCATTTTAACCACTCTCCTACTGTTCAGGCAGACACAGAGTAAATATTACAACTTTTACGATGAACACAACATGACATAAATGTTTATACACATAATCTAGATTGATATGCAAGGAATTATGAAGCTTTTTTTTAATTCAAAAAATATAACTGCAGAGAAAAAATAATAATAAAAGCATTTCTTCCATGAACTCTTTGAATGAAAAACTTACTGCAAATTAGCTTTTCATTCGAGAACTTTGAGTTATTGTAGCAAGTTCAGAAAAAAGGGGTTCATAAAAGAACAGACAAAGAAATTCTAAATAATGAGTTTCGATACATAATAAGAAAGTGGTCTTTGCTTAAGCAAGTGGCCAGTGAAAGTACCATTTAGTTCTTTCAATATGGCAGAAAAATTGAAAATAAATGTTAAACAAAATCTGACTCAGTTAGACCTAATAAATTTCATGACCTAATAATTATTTCCTCCTTAATAGCTTATGCAATGAGTAAACAATACTCAGAAACACTTGCACAAAAAAGAAAATTCTTATGAAAAAGAAAAGAAAATCATTTAAAATAACAGACACAAATTAACCTTACTTTTATGTAAATGTCAGCAAGCAGTAGCCATGCTTTTTCTAAGTATTCTGCATCCTAGACACAGAAAATTGAAATTAAACAGCTGAGTAATGTGAATAATTATTTCAGCAAACAAAAAATGGCTTTCAATTTTAAAAAAATCTGTTCAAATAAACCGAAAAGCTTTCATTCATTACATTTTCACATGTAATGTTAAAATTACTTACACTGAAATTCCAAGCAGTTTTCGAAATTCTCTTCAGCTGATTACGAGCTCGGGGTGTTTGCTTCAAGATTAAGTAAGCAATTGCAGAGCCTAGAATAGCACCAGCATGATCCTTCTAGTAAAAAAAATATATATATATGTATGTAAGATATAACAAAATATAATAGCTGTTCTAAAAAAAGTAATTGGTGAACTCGAAATTAACATTCTAAATTTGGTGATTTCTCCCTGGGTTCATCTTTTCTACCAGGTTCCAGATTTTTCTATGTTACGTAACGTTTCAATGCAGATACCTCTTGTACAGTCGAATTAATTGTAAATCAAAACTCTGAACTGAAACTTTTCTGACTCCACCTTCTTCCTTTGAAGTACTGCGACACTCTTCCCTTTTTTTGCGTAAGCTTTCCTGCTGGCAAGATGCTTTTCATTCATGCTGCTGGCGCTTACTTGCTTAAGATGATGTCGTACTTCAAAATGGAACTTATTGTTTTCAAATATAATTAGAAAACATCTTGTTTGCAAAGGATGCTTTAATATACATAAAAAAATAAATATTGTGATTCTTGAAGATCCGTAGTGCTAAATGTGTCATCATGCTTTTCCACTCAGCCATCTTCAAGCCACTACAATCTTTTCAGCCATCTACACAATATCGTAAGCTGTTAAAGTTCCAGTGTCTTCATCTACGCATTAAAAAAATTATCACATATATATAAATATATATATATATATATATACACATATATATATCGAGGGGGAGTGTGTGAGAATGTGTGTGTGCATAGTCTAATGATCTAAATTGTATTATTCTTATTAAGATTTTTGGCTTTTCTATCAACTCTTCATATTATACAGAAGAGTAAACTGTTTGCTTTTATTCACAATTCTTGATTTTTTATTGCCTGAAGAAAAAAAAAAAAGAAAAGCAGTCAGTTTGTTTTTCAAATTCTGTAATTTTCCTTGCATTTTACAGTAATGAATACCGCAATTTTACATTACAAACCTAACTTTTAGTACATAATATCATATAATACCATTTTTAGTATACAATACAACCCTAATTTATTTAATTTCACCAAAAAGTAATCAGTAATTAATACATAATTCTAGCATATAACATTTATACATCATATAACATCAATCACACTGTACAATCAACTCCCAAATTACTGGGGATAGATTAACTGCTTCTGTCAATTGCTGGGATCAACTGGGTTCTGTCAATTTCAGAATAATGGGAATATTACTATCCTAAACCATTAGTATCAGAAAATATTAAAAGGAAATGAAAAATGCATACATTACCAGCAGTGACAACAATGATGTCATAGGAGTTGCTCCAACACTACATAATTAAATTACATATAATCTAGAACATGCACTGGGACTTAAGAGAGAGATCTCCTTAAAGTCTGCATTCTGGGATTGAGGCCCCCAGTCTGAAGTAAGATAATTCGTTTATCCCTCTCTTTGAAGTGATTCTATCTCCTGAACCTCCCTAATATGGAGGACAGGATGTGTGTCTGCATAGTGCCTTAATCGATGTGGCAGAACACATAATAAAACTCAATTTCCCAAGATGTTGTTCTCAATGAAGAAATTGCTAAATGGACAATGAGTTAGGCCAGAATTTCTCAAGCCTTCCTCAAATGAAGACCTCTTTTATAAATTCGAATATTTTATAGGCAATCATTTTCTTCTCCCCCAGTAAATAGAAGAAAATTCATATCCCTTTTAACAATTTAAGGATATTAAAGCTTGGACAATCTTTACTAAAATTTAAATAAATATTGGCATTCACATTAATAACATAGATGAGCATGCTGATTTTCGCACAGCTCTTCTATGTGTGTATGTATGCTGGTTAACTTAAGTCTGAAATCAGCACACACATGAAGTCAATTTTAATACTTTGTTTTTACACGAGTTGGTGATAAAAACTCTTTCTTACGCAGATACATAGAAGTAAACTGAATTATAATTTTTAAAATGCAACTGTACAGTTTACTACATTCTGTTTTCCATAGTAACGAGAAAAGTGGTATCAGATGTGCAACGAAATGATGATAAGAACATTCACCACTTTTGGTGTTCACCACTTTCACAACCAAAATCATAGTGCTTTAAATTCCTCTTTTGCTACTAAGACTAGAGTAAAAGGTCCATAGTATAAATTACCAAGAATAAATTTCATAAAATATCAAGAGAAAAAGTGATAAACAATCACTATGTGTAATTCTTAAACACTGAGATTTTCAGCTATAATTTGATAAATGCAGTTAGTCTCAATTTTGTTTTTTGTTTCTTTTGGAAATCTAGGACGAAGAATTTTTTCAAGCAAGTTTTTGACTATTTGTGGAGGATCCCCAAGATTTCATCTTGATAAAGATAAAGATTTCTCCCTCATAGAATGAATTAATACACAACTTAGGGATATAAAGACACAATAAAATATGAAATTGAAAAGATTTATGCATAACTATACTTCATTAAAATGTGTATTAAAAATGCCATTCATCTAATTTGCTTTATGAATACATGCAGTTTTTATATATGCAGTAAAACAGAACTTTTCATGAAATTACAATGTAAAAATATTACTTACAGAGGGAAAATATAAATGTCTAGTGTATGAATATGTGGCGTTCTCACAGATACTTTAACTTCTATTCAAGAGATGGCGACACCTATCAAATCCAGTTCTTAATCTGAGCAATGAAGTGATGTCAGTGATCAATCGGGACTTCTCCTAAGGAAACTGTACACAACGATGGCATGAACTGTGTTCCGAGCTCTACTTCAATCATCATAATGTATTTTTGATTGTAATTTTACAGAGGCTGTTCGTACATTTTTTAGACGATTTTGGTAAGCGGTAATAAAAAATCGTTTGCTGCAAAAGAAGTAATTGCAATTATACTATGTTTTTAAAAGTCAAAATTATCGTCTGTGGCTTGAAAGTTTTGTATTTATTCAAAATGGCGAATTTAACAAAGCAGTGGTTCGAAGGCTACATTTATGCTCTTTACGAAGAGAAATATGCACACTCCGTTATCCAAAAACAATGTGAAAGTCATGGTTTTGTAATATCTAAAACATCGATAGGTAATATCATCAACAAGAAAGGAAAAAAACGTCAAATTGGAGCCTCAAGTGGGACAAAAATTCCAAACAAGTATCCAAGGAAAAAACGGACATTTTCGGCTATTGCAAAGGTACATTGTTTAATGTTAAAAGAAAATCCCCCTAGTCAAAGGACAGTTGCAAAATCATTAAAATGCTTGGTGTCCACTGTAAACAAAACGATAAACATTGATTTAAATCTTAAGAAAGTGAAAAAACGCAATGTGCATTGTCTTCTTCCAAAGCATATCGCTCAACGCAGGACACGCTGCCGAATTCTATATGAGAAACACTTATCCAAAGAAAAATGGAAAACAATTGTCACAATAGATGAAGCATGGGTGTATTTAAATGATTGTAACAAAAAAAGAGCCATTTATTATCATAAAAGGAGAGGAAAAAATTTAAGTACATGGTTCAAAGAATCGAAAGAAAGTTTTTCTAAGGGATTCATGATTGTTGCTGGTTTTTCTTATAATGGCAAGTTAATAATAAAAAGAGTGCAAAAAAATGTCAAGATTAACTCCAAATACTATGAGGAATATATTTTATCGCCAATTTTTCTGAATGAAATACCATCGCTTTACCCACAGTTGCCATCAATCTGTGAGACTCCAACAGGACAAAGCTAGCAGTCACACATCAAAATCCACTGTAAATTTCCTAAAAGAAATGGAACAAAAAACTGGTATCAAGGCCATACCCTTCACCGATACCCCTACTAAATCTCCCGATGTGTCACCTATGGATTTTTGTGCTTTTGGACTTTTAAAAACTGCATTATCCAAACATTGTCCCAAAACCCTAACAGGACTTAAACTGTGGGGTGGATGAACTTCGCCTCATTCGAATCGGTGAAATTTCTATAGGAGCAAAGCATTCACAATTTTTATTAGTTTGATCTAAATGTTAAAATTTAATTTAGTACTTAATATATTCTTTTGTTATAGGAGATTGTCTACTCTTATTTTCTTTAATTATATCATGCATTAAGCACACACGACCACCAAAAGTGGTGACCTTTTGACTGAGCACGCTACTGACAATGGATTTTCAACGACCCTAAGCCACGTGCATCCAGGCATTCTGAAGAACTGACTAAAAATAACAACGAATATGGACATTAAACGTATGCTACAACGTACCCCTTCAATTATTTCTAGAAGTATTGATATATATTGCTGTGTGTTTTTTTCAAAGTCGTGCATATCATCGCAAGGAGCTTCAGCAAATCATCAATGTGATCTGTTCCGTTCCGCTGACTTCGCCAGTCGTGCAATAATTCTTCGATCATTCAACTTTTGTGACAAATGTGATACAATAGTGATTTTCGCTAAATGTGCTACATCAGTAATTTTTCTGCAACGTGCTACGGCAAAAATTCTTCCCTCAGTGTTTCGAAAGTAGTGAATTTTTTCCCATGTGCTACAGGAGTGATTTTTTTTTTCCTTCGAAAGTGCCTTAGCAGTGAAGTGGTGATTTTGTGTGTGTGCGCAATACAAAATGAACGCATCATTTTTTTCTCAAATAGGGGTTTCTTTTCAAATGCATTTCGGTAAAATATTATGTGTGTGTAATTGCTGACCCTGTATTATTTGTGTGTGTATCGTTACGTAAACATGGTTAAATATTTTTTATCATGGTAAAATATTAATGTATCCTCATGCTACAATATTTGTGCTGTTAAGTGTTTATTAATTAAAGTGAAAATTATCTATCAGTATGCCCGACGATATTCCACCAGAGCCACAAATCACACGCGTTGCGGTGAAGCCACCGCCTTTCTGGAAAAATAATCCTTCATTGTGGTTCGCTCAGATCGAAGCACAATTTTCTATCGCTCGCATTAGTGAGGATTCTACAAAATTCAACCATGTAGTTGCAGCAATTGAGTCTGATATTCTGAATTCAGTGCATGACTTAATTCTCAAACCACCTGATTGTGATAAATACTCCAAACTGAAACAGCGGCTCATTGAAATCTATTCAGAA